GCTGAGTGCTTGGCCCAGGCCTTTCCACCCTCCAGGTCCTGGCCGCCACCCCTACAGCAGATACCCAGCTCCCTGTGCTCCTCCCTGCCTCTCCTGAGGCCAGCAGGACCCACAGCTGCCTTTCGTCACCCCCTCCCACACACAGCTCATGTCAGCAGCACAACAGAAACTGAGTGGGCCCTTGGCATTACACAGTTGCAGGTTCAAATCCTGCCTCTCACACTTGGTCACTCAGTAAATGTTTGGCAGGTTATTTGACAGTGACCCACCATGAGCCTTGTTCCTTCCTTTGGAGCAGGTGTGAGGCTGGGGCCCTGAACTATGGGTCTGGGCTTCATGCCAGCCCTGCCACTCCCTCCCTCCTGGACCATGGGAAGTCACATAGGGTCGCCTCAGTGTAATAACACTTCCTGCTGCCATGATTGGTCATGGACTCAAATGAATTGGCGCGTGAAAGCATTCAGCTCAGCTCCTGCTCCTTGCGACCCTGACATGAGCGTGTCATTACGACGCTGAGAGTGCCCACGGAGCCTGGCACGCAGTCGGTACTAAACAAATGTTGGTTTAGTGAACACAGGAGCTGTACTGGAGGCGAAGCCCTTGCTTGGCTCTTCAGTGTTCTGGGTCTGGCAAGGAGACAGCCACAGACAATGAGACTGTAAAGTCCACACACCTGGCTTTCTAGAGCCCAGGAAGCCAATGGGAAGCGAGAGTCTGATCTTATGGGAGATCTTCTTCACTTTGCTTCGGCAGCTTTCTGAGCAACACTGCTGCCTGAGCCTGGGTGTTAGCAGGACACAGTCCCGGGGGAGAAGCCAGTGGACAGTGGGCTCTTGATCTCCAGCTAGGCCTATTGCCTAGTGCTCTGGAGCCACCTCCCACAGCTATTTGTCCACTGATACTCTCCCATCTCATTGCGATCTCCAAGCAGGGAGCAGCAGCTAAAAAATCTGCCTCAGGCAGGACTTCCAGAGGTCATGGAAGGAGAGGACCGGAAGAGGCCTGACACCAAGAACACATAGATTGACAGTCTGGATGCACACAGATATCCATGTACCTAAATGCACACAGACACATTAGAAACACATGGACACAGGTGCAGCGCACACCACAACCGGCTGTGCTCTATGCGCTACCATACAGTTCCCGAGCTTAGGACAAGGGGCTGGAGGTTGAAACACACAAAGACACACAGACAGAGACATGGACCTCTAGTCACTGGTATGAAGCCCCTTATTCAATAGCACCATAAATAAATACCCAACCGTCAAGTGGGTCAACAGGTGAAAACCTTATCCTCTGATCCTCAAGGTCAAGACAACACGTGCTCAAGAAGCAGAGCTGGTAAACAACTTTGACACAGCCTTTAGTAACTCAAACCAGAAGGGAAGTAAAGATCTCTAGCAGGGAAGGGCAGCTGGAGGCCAGGATCCAAATGGTCCCAACACACAGCGATACATTCTTGCATACACACTGAGACACCTAGCAGCAGACACGCAAAGGATACACCAGGGGTTCGAGCGTCCCGTAGTCCTCCAGGGGCAGTCAGTGCATGTCCGACTGCCTGGGCTGGGCAGTTGGTGTCAGACACTGGGTTTTCAGCCTCACGCCAGGGATTCTGGGAAATCTGCACTTCCCATGAACTCCTTAGACAGCACTAAGGGGGTGATCCCTGGATCATAATTTGGGAGACATTTCTTTAATGCCCATCATTAAAATGATGGCTTTGGATAGATGAACAGAGGAACTGAAGCGACAGTTCTAGTCCCCCAAGGCCCGTCTCCACCCTTAGCTGGAACAACAGTGAGGCATGCCGGGAAGGATGAAGACGTGGGGCCTGGTTTAGCAGGGATGGCTGTGGACATTAAGAACCGACTTTCCTCTCTCTCTAGCCCCCTCCTCTTCCTCCTGAACCCTGTGGGTGGCCATACACAGGTGACACCGTAGCCAGCAAACTTTCTTAGAGTGTCCACACCTACAGGCTTCTTCTTGCCCCCCATTCGCCAGGCTCTGTAGCTCCCCACAGTTCCCGCAGTTCCCACAGTCCCCAAATATTCTCTTCCTTTCTCTCACCCCATCCCTAGACCACCAAACCTGTCCCACACACCATCTTCAGACCCGGGAGAGGAGGGTGTTAGCAGATACCCTCTGGGGACAAAGACCGGTTAGGGGAAATAGCTGGCTCACTACCAGGAGACCTTAGGCCTAACCCTGGGTGTCATTCTTAACACCATGCCCTAGGCAGTGCTGAGGGAGGTGTCAGAGGGAGATGGTCAGCAAGGCAGTGGCTGGGGAGGGACAGTCCCAACACCCACGCTCAAACTCACACCGTCTGCTGAGTGTAACTTCATGATTTGAGGGTAAAATACTGGATTCCTTCCTGCTCTATAGAGTATTCCTCTGTCTGTTCTTTCCTTTCCTCCTTCCTCCTTTTTCAAGCGAGTAGCCATACCTTGTGTTTGGTGGGGAGCAGAGAAGGAGACAGACAGGAGAAAGAAAT